AATTCTATTCTGATTTTCATTGAGAAGAAGAGATTTACAGTAGAATTTTAAAATTACTGGTTATACATTGATCTTACCGAATTCACCTCTTGCTTACCATTTTTACAGTTAATCAAAAAGATTGAATTTACCGGATTTGAATCAACTTACCGGATTTACATTTGCATACCGTATATGGCATATACTGGATTTACATGAAGCATACCGTATATGCAAGGTCCATACCGTATATGCACAAAGCTAACCAGATTTGCAAGGGTCTTACTGGTTTTTTAGAAAAACAGGACACTTACCGAATTTGCACACAAGTCACCGTATTTGCAATACTCTCACTGTATATGCATAATACTCACCGAATTTGATAGAGGAATGCTCTGTTTTTCAGCCCTTTTCAGCACTTTTCAGCTGATTTTCTTCAATTGTTTGATGTTAATGATTTAGTTTTTCAGTTCTAATCTTCAAAGATTAGTTTTTCAGCTCTAAATCCTTGCAAAAAACACACCAGATTTAACCACCTCAACTTCATTTTCCACCAGATTTCTCTATTTTTCGTTGTTTTTCACTGCCTTTTGATACAGTTTTTCATAGCCTTTTCCAGCACTTCTTCTTCTTCTTCTTCTTCTTCTTTCTGTAACCTCAGGTCCCTTTCCAAGATCATTTATGCTCTGATACCATGTTGGGATTTTGACTTTGATCTAAGACTCTATAAAGTGAGCCCTTAACATCTTTGATTTTGTGTATGGAGGAGAGTATACCGGTTATTCACATACCGGTTTATAAGGTATAAAACATACAAAAAACATAATAAAATTCATATGAACTCTGTTGGTTTTATTACCAGATCAGAGGAGAAGAAGGAACTTTGATTGTCTACATTGTTAAAGACAGTTTTTCTATAACAAATACTTCATATATCCTACATATTTTTCTCTTATAAATTGGCTCTATTTATAGCCAAACTTACTAGATATTCTACAAGATATTTAGAGATATTTTCTACCTCTTGACTATCCTCTTGCAAGTAGTAGCTTTCAACTTTGCTACTAGAACTTACTTTACTTGTAGAATGGCTTACTACTTTGTGTTGTACTAGTTATAATTTAGTCTAATTTAACATAAACTTAGTTAGACATTTCAACTAAACTAGCAACAAACTAAATTACAATAAAAATACAATTCTTCATGTGACAACAAAATGTCACAACTCCAACACTCTGCCCTCCTGCCCCAGAATGATTGATCTCCTGAAAAGCATTTTGCTAATTGTATGACAGTTAAAGGGTAAATAGAAGCCTATAAAATGATATTCATATGCAAGAAAAACTATAAATAAAGCCGTAAAACATTCAGAGAAAGAAGTAACATGAGCTGTAATCATAATAGCACAAAATGACACATTTTGAAAAACTGAATATAATTTCATCTGAGAGTGCAAATTCACCTCAAACGATATTCCAAAACATTGTCTGTGGTATCTTTGTTGCTGAAATTTGAGATGCATTTACAAACAACCATGCTGTCTGGTTTGCATCAACCTCAGTTGCACATCATTGAAAGGATGCATGCAATCCAATGAAAAAGAAAAGCAGCAATCCAAAGTCGAATGATTTGCATCCATCTTACTCTCAACATTCGACGTCTCAGTAGCCTATTTTCTAAGAACTCATGTTATCCTCACTTATAAGCAACAAGAAAGTAGTAACAGAAATGAGCTAATTCAGCTATATTTTGATCACTTGATCAATAGAAAAGTAGCGACTAATTTTGGTGAATTTTAATAATTGGAGATAGATGGCCTTCCTAAAGAATTTAGTGACTAATTTGGAACATAAAGAAATTTGATGACCAAAATGAAACGGGGACTATAAGTCGGGTGAATAACTATGTTTTTTTACTCTATTTTGAAATTTTTTTAAGAAAATTATTTCTTGTCTCCTAGACATGCTCTGAAACTTATATATGCACCGGTTCCCTTCGCTTTCGAGTTGAAATTTTTATTACTAGTTTGAAGAAATTATCAGTTCTGATAGACAACAAGAATAAGTTAATGTACTCTATCTAATAAGGTTGTAACATATATTTCTGAAATTTATAAATGCACTGATTTCCCTTCCATTTGGAGTTGAAATTTTTTAGCATTAGTTTGGAAGATTATCGCTTCTGATAGATGGAAAGAATTAGTTATTGCATGTCTAATAAGGTTGTAATAAATTGAACCGTGTCAAAATAACATATATATTTTCACTAATTTCAACATTTCGTCAAGAGCATTTTCTTGATGACATTGTGGAACTAAAAAGTGTACAACCTGAAAGCCATAGTCATAATTATCATACTCTAAATAGCTATATGTATGCAACAACCAGCAGATAAAGCTTTTATTTGCACGCACAATATAAAAATATGTATGTTATAAATAGATACAATGTGATTTTTTATTTTTATTTTTCAGTTTTTTGGGAAAATGTGACTATAAAAAAAATTCTATATTATAAGCGATATCTAATTTTTCATAATTTCCTCAGGTTCTTGTTTATGATTAGTACAAAGGAACTATCTCTGTTTTCACAGATATGGGACTTCTAATAGAATGCTTGCCATCAGTCCATGTCAAGCTTCCAAATGTGTACCCAAGATTGTACTTCTTCGTCAACTTGATAGTCACTTGGAAGGTGATCTTCTTAATCCCATAATTGAAGGACAACACTTTAGGCTTAACTGACACCTTTGTAACCAATGGAGTTTTGATCACAGAATTATACACAGCCTTCGCAGGTAGTCCAACGTTTGTGACAGTTCTTTTCACAGTAACTGACTCTCTGAGATTTGGGATAGTAATGGAAGGTAGGTTTAGATCTAAAACGGACATTATAGGTTTAGGGCACATCCCGCGTATCCCTGTAACATTCTGAATTTCTGGATCGTCTGCTGTGGCATTGTATATAAGACCATTGCTGTAGCCAATAGAACACAGGGAGTATGTAGTCATTTGTGCCCATATCATAAAACCAAACCCGGGTGTGCAGCACCATTCGGATTTGCAATACCACCCCCATAGTCGAAAGCATCTGCCAGTTTTCTCGGATTACTCTCAGCAAAGATGGGATAGTCATATGTGTCTGTGTTCCATGCTGCCAAAGCAATCCACCATTTATCAAACGAACTAAGTTTTGAAACTAATTTTGAGGTCTCAAATCTTGATAGTGTTAATTCCGAGTATAAAAGCTCGCTTGTGATTTTTTCTTCATTTGTGTTCTTATATTAGATATATGATCACCCGTAAAATACCTGTTGTTACGAGGGCAGATTTGATTGCTGCAGGAGACCAATCAGGATGCACTGCTCTCAGAAGAGCCACAATGCCTGCAACATGAGGCGTTGCATTTGACGTTCCACTGCTAAGACTATATGTATTGTGCATCATAAAATTAGAATATGCATTAACTGCTAGAATTGATGTTCCTGGTGCCGCTATATCAGGCTGCATCATGTATACAGAAAAAATGCTAATTCAGGAAAAAGTACATAGCCTTGGTCTAAATTAGTCTGTACTAGAGTAGCAACATTGCTAAGAATGGATAAATGCATGCAATTGATGCTTTGTGATTGATCACAATGATATTAAACAATCAACTACACTATTGTCAAGAAAATACTAAAGACTACTGTGTGAGATCCTAATTTTTATAACGAAGAACTGATATAGAGAGCGTGTAAAAAATCTGTGGTCACTTTTTTCTTCTTGCTAATAGCACTCAAAAACGATACCTTGAGTACTGATGGAACATAAGAGTTAGGCTCTCTTGATGAATAAGAAGCAACCCTAGGAGCCCCTGGCTTGCCCAAAAGAACTTTTGTTGAGCTCAACTTCACCATAGGAGTGGCATCACTGTGTATCAAAATTCAATAAACACAGTCAGATTATAGAACAAACTGAGTACCCCTTTTCTTCTTTCTTTCTTAATTTCTTTACCATCTTCTTCCCCGGGAGGAGATCAAATTTGAAGTGTTGCTAATAATCACATTTACCTCGTCAAACAATAATTCATAATTTCAGTTCCAGTTTCATAGTCTATTTGAATGACTGGAATTCCAGCTACCGAGTTATTGCTCGTATAGAAAGCGAATATTGTAATATCATCAGGGGCACTGCCACAATCATGGCAGTTGCGCCTGAAGCATTTACGGCCCTCGCATAGGCATCTATATTTGATATGGCGTCTTTTAGAAGGTAAAATAGAACCACTTTTCCCGCAACTTCACTAGGTCCAAACCGAAAGTATTCATTGGGGGCACTGTTTCGTTAAGCAAAACTTCAACACTGATTAGCAACAGCATATTAGCTTAGTTTTTTATATAAAAAATAAACCTACCTGTAGAATGCCCCTAGAAAAGTTAAATCTTTGAAACCAATCCCATCTCTTGTCATTGAACTTTGTCCCTGCAATCATAAACCAGAAAGAAATGACAACATTTTTCTTCTCAAATTCAAAACTCAGATGTCACCACGAAAATGTTTTGTTGTTCCCCAGTGTGATTCTTGTTTGAAATGCTCTGTCCATGTTGTTAGCAGCAACAGTTAGAATCCATGGTGAAACATTAGTTACTGTGGCCCCCACAGGTCCCTCATTCCCAGCGGCACACACGACACGGATGCCATTAGCCACCGCATGAAAAGAGGCCATGGCTAAAATGCTGCCCTTATGGCCTTATCAACTTCAGCAACCAAAGGCATTGTTGGCTCTATAGACAACGATAAAATATAGACTCCATCACGGCTGGCATCTTCAAATGCTTGCAGAACATCAGCATCCGTACATGTTTGCGCTCCTGATGTTGGTTCACACCTTTTGAAGGCAGAATTTAAATATACATAGGTAAAATTTTGTCTAACAGTTTAAACTTTTACACAAGATGGTTAACAATACCAGCACACCTTGTATATTGCTAATCGAGCACGTGGGGCACCGCCTCTGAATGTGCCGAAATTGTGGCCGAAGTAGGTGGCGTTGGCCATGAAAGACCTGGCTGCCCTGCTCGCTATATGGCTTCCATGCCCGACCATATCTAAAGGAGACGGATTATCGGAATACATGAAGTACTCTGTAATGTTTCCTTGGAATTCACTTTGGAATCCATATTTGTAGAATCGAGAGCCAATAACTGTTATTACACTGTGTTGAGGCATCGAGCATGTCTAAAGATTTGCACTCCCTTTCCAATGAGAAGGAATCGGCCGACTTCGGCAAGATACCTACACAAAATTTTCAATACACATCCATGATTAGTGGTTTTAAAGTCCAAAAATTTCCCAGGCCAATGCACATATGTACCTGTTAAAAATATTTAAAACAAAACCTGAATCTATAACACCAATGATGATTCCGTCTCCCATATTGGATTCACGTAGAAGATTATCAGGTACACGAGAAGAAAGACCCAAGAAATCCCAGCTCCGCGTATTCAGAACCTTGTGAGGCGGAGCCCAGTACAGCCCAGGATGGGCACAGGCCCACCCTGAACTTTGGGCTCAATTTTTTTTTTAAAGTTAAAGCCTAGCTGGACAGCCCAACCCAAGGGAGAAAGCCCAAACATTTAAGCCCATTTCATTTCCTTCCTCAAGCCTACCCAAACGAATTCGATCCTCAGCAAAATCAAAATCAAAATCGACTCCTGCTCTCACCAGTCGCCTCTCAGTCTCAGCCTCCACTTCGCCTCTGCCTCCGGCAAGTCGTAGCCTCCATTGCAGACTCAACTCAACAACTCCATCCTAGTCCACGCCAGTCCACAGTCACCTCCATTGCAAACTTCCAGCCTCCTCTGCTTTCCTCGCAGACTCGCAGTCGCAGAAGTCGCCAGTCGCCTCCTCTGTGACTGCTCTCCTCCTCCACCGGACCACCTCCAGCTTCCGCCTCCTCTATTGAATGTGTCTGCCAAGTATTTTCTTTAAGCTTTAGTAATTTGTTATTTGGATTATTGGCATTTGGCGATAGCATGAGTCTTGAGACCAATAATCTGAAGTTGTTCTTTTAATTAATACTATGTTTGAGTATTGTTATTTCTTGTTTGCTATGTGCAGTAGATGAATATATTGCTGAGTATGGTTGAAATGGAAATTGGGTATGGTTGAAAATTGAAATTGAAATTGCAGTAGCCAGTAGAGTAGACTCTGTTGAAATGGAAATTTGGTATAGAAGAAATTTGGGTATTGCTGACTTCTGAGTAAAAATTAGGTATTGTTGATAGGTTGAAATTGGGTATTGTTGACATTTGGGTGTTGTCCCGTTGTTGAGTTGAAATTGCTAAAATTTGGGTATTGTTCAAAGTTGGGTATTGTTGGTTGAATTGAAATTGTTGAAATCTCATGAAGAGATTCTTTCAGAGAATAGCTGACTTGGACAATGTAAATGTTATTGGGGCGACGTCGAATAATGTGCAATTTGACGTCAATAAACTTCCTACTGATCCTGGTTTAAGGATACCCATTTTGGATTACAATACTAACATCCGAGATCAAGTTCGAAGAGCATATATGTTAATGGGTCCTTGTCAGCCACATGATCATGACTTTCCAAAACGACAATTTGGAGTAAAATGTAGACGATTTAATCCCTCTTGGTTTAAAGAGTTCGATTCTTGGTTGGAGTATAGTGTAGAAAAAGATGCTGCTTATTGTTTGTATTGTTATCTTTTTAAATCAAATTCTGGAAAGCAAGGTGAGGGTGAGTATTTTGTTGGTGAAGGTTTTACATGTTGGAAAGAGAAAAAAAAACTTCATATTTATGTTGGAGAACATGATAGTGCACATAATCAAGCTCGCATTAAGTGCGAAGCTTTGATGAATCAAGATTAACACATTCAATCAGTTTTGTACAAGCAGTCAGAACAAGTAAGAAGTGCTTATGTTACCCGTCTTAATGCATCTATTGATTGTGTTCGACTTTTATTGCGACAAGGGCACTCATTTTGGGGACATGATGAGTCCAGTGATTCTCTCAATCCTGGCAATTTCTTAGTCCTATTGGAATTTTTGTCTGCTCATAATGAAGATGTTAATGCTGTGACATTTGGAAATGCTCCTCAAAATTGCAAATTGACATCACCTGATATTCAAAAAGATATAGTAAATGCCTGTGCCGTTGAGACAATCAATGTTATTATCTAAGATATTGGCGATTCATTATTTTCTATTCTAGTTGATGAATCTTGTGATGTGTCAATGAAAGAGCAAATGTCAATTGTAATACGTTATTTAGATAGTAGTGGACATGTGAATGAACGTTTCATAGGGATTGAACATGTTACAAGTACCACGGCTCTATCATTGAAGGCTGCAATTGATAAGGTATTTTCTATTTATAACTTGAGCATGTCTAGATTGAGAGGACAAGGTTATGATGAGGCAAGTAATATGCAAGGTCAATTTAATGGTCTAAAAGCACTCATTTTAAAGGAGAATCTGTGTGCTTTTTACATTCACTGTTTTGCTCATCAACTCCAACTAGCTCTTATAGCCGTTGCGAAGAAGAATATTCCTATTACTAACTTCTTTCGTGTAGTCGGTGATGTCGTAAATATTGTTGGAGCATCTTCTAAACGTTGTGATCTTCTTCGAGAGAAGCAATCTGACTTTATTGTTGAGGCATTTGAGAAGGGTGAGATTTCAAGTGGACGATGACTTAATCAATAAACAACCCTTCAACGTTCTGGTGATACGCGATGGGGTTCACATTATAATTCATTGGTCAGCTTACTGGTCATGTTCTCTTCTGTTATTGATGTACTTGCAATGATTGTTGAAGATAGCTCTTCTTCTTGTGACCAAAGATCCGACGTGACAAATTTACTGGAGTCAATACAGACATTTGATTTTGCATTTCATTTACAGTTGATGAGAAAAGTCTTGGGGATTTCAAATGAACTATCAAAAACATTACAACGGCAAGATCAAGATATTGTGAATGCAATGCAATTGGCGAAGTTATGCAAACAAGGACTACAAATGATGAGAGATGAAGGGTGAGACTCATTTTGTTAAGAAGTATGTTCTTTCTATCAACAACATTATATTGATGTACCCGATATGGATGATTGTTTGTACGTCGTGCACTTCGTGGTCGCCCACAACGTAACCCTCTAGAACTTACAAATTTACATCATTATCGGGTAGATTTGTTCTACCCTGTTATCGATCTTCAACTTCAAGAATTGAATGATCGTTTCTCGGAGGTAAATACAGAGTTGCTCATGTGTGTAGCTTGTTTATGTCCACAAGATTCATTTTCTTCTTTTGACAAGAAAAGTTTGATTCGACTTGCTGAGCTTTATCCATTAGATTTCTCTATGTTAGACCTCGCTGTACTTCATGATCAACTTGAGACTTATATTTTTGACATACGCTCTAACAAAGAGTTTGAAGGGTTGAACGACCTTGGTAATCTTGGAGAGAAATTAGTTCTGACAAAGAAAAATATGGTATATCCATTGGTTTACAAGCTTTTGATCTTAGCATTGATTCTGTCGGTTGCTACTGCTACTATGGAGAGTTTTTTCTGCAATGAGCATTGTGAAGGATAGATTGCGTAATAGGATGGGTGATCAGTGGATGAATGATAGCTCAATTGTTTACGTAGAGAAAGATATATTTTTGAAACTCGATAATGAAGTTATTGTACAACGATATCAAAGCATGAAAACTCGAAAGAAACAAGTGTAATTTATAAACTATGTCACTTTAGTATTGTCGTAATATTGTTTTATATTTTTACAAAACTCGACGTTCATTATCAGGTAACTTGTGCCCCCCCGACCAAAAATCCTAGCTCTATTGTGAATTACATGAACCACTTCAGGAAATTCTGAATTAATTAGAGGGTGGAATCATTTTTAAATATGATAATTACATTTCATAAAAGTACCAGAAATTTTCTTCGCCTGAGATCCTGTGAGCTTGGCTGCAAATGCTGAGAAGCTATGGCTGTAGCTGTATACCATCTGCATTTTAGCTTCTTCTTTGCGGCATCAACATTAAAATCTTCAGATAAATTTTACACCAGTCTCAAAATTGTTCAATCACCTTGTCTAAAAGTTACCTCCCGCCGATCACATAGGCTAGCATATCATGATGTGATTCTGTGATTCTCTCGTGATCATTGTGTGGCTTATTGCCAAGATAAAAAATGTAAAGCTGTTGATCAGAAAATGAACAAAGGATTAACGTTAAAGTTTCCAAATAAATACAGATTAAATTGTGGGTTCATATCAAATGGTTAAAGATTACGAACCTCGCTCTCGGTGTCATCTACTTTTGTGATCAATAGAGAGTGCCCATTCAGAACCCCAAAAACAAAAAGCAGGAAAAAACATTGCACATGTCGTCTTCCTGAGATTGTCAGCAAATAGAGAACCAAAGGTGATATTGTTAGATCAAAATACTAGTGAATGAATACCGGCTTAACAATTATCAGATGGACACGCACAGCGGATTTGCAACTAACAGAAATATCGTATAAACATATACCGGACACTAGCTAACCGAATGTTAGCCGAACTATTACAAATCAAATAATTTATTAATACAATAAAACAGAACAAGTAATCTAAATTGCTTTTAAAAAAAATTAATCGAATGAACCGATACCTGTGTAAACACAGTTTCCTTAAAATATATTCACCCCCTAACCGTAGATGCTTGAGGTTTAATTCGAGCATCTGTTTCCCAAGATACAACGAAAAAATCAGTAGAGTTTGAGCACAGTAGATACTACTCCGGCGAGCTAACTTAGTATCTGAACACTATCACCAAGATTTTGATAGAAAATAAATTATGTATGCAGATTGGAATTTTTTTATTCTTTTTATATAGAAAAATAATTTTCTTCGTCTGTATGCGATGAAGGAAGATAAGTGAATAAATAGGAGTTATGTTATTAACCACCATTAATCCAGTTGTTAATCTCTTCATTAAAACTTGCATAATTACATGAGTTTCAGGAGTTAAAAAGAATTTGAAAGGTTTTAGGAAAAATAAAATAAAGGCAAAACGCCTGCACACAAGTTCAATGTTCGAAACCTATTTCGGTGTGTGATTTGCACCACCTGCGCGTACACGTGGAGAGAGCCTCTATACTACACATGATTACACCCTTCTAAAGTGAAATCATATTTAAAGTAGTCATGCATTTATTTATTTTCCTATGTGGAATAACTTTAAACTAGTTTCCTTTTAACACAAAACATTTTCCAATGCATTAATTTGAGGTCCAATTTTCATTCACAAGAGCATCATTTTTGGCAAGTGAATATATGATTTCGATCAGGGGCGGACCCAGAAAATTTTTTGAGTGGGGGCGGAGCCAACTCGTCGAAGTAGGGGGGTCCAAAGTTGAAGGGGTGGGGGCTTACGGGGGTTGCCCCCGAAATTTTTTTTTCGGAGTTGTTGAATAGTTTAGATTTAGCTGCATTTTCCCAACTAGTTCATGCCATATAGGCCATGAATGAAGCCTCTCACCCTGCATCAAACCCACAAATATATTCACTCTGACCATGCAATAGTTTTTGCAATCACAGGTGGTCAAAATGAGATTTACATAACATACCAATTCTTCAGCAATATTAGCCACTTGAACTACTACGTGGCCAAAATACTTTTTTTTCGAATCGTGGACTTCAAATGTCAAATCATTTCCAAACCCATCTGGCAAGTTATATTCAAGTGGGAAGGAAATTTAACCATCCAACTCTATAAGATTGAAGAATATGTAACAAGATTAAACAGAAAAAGATTACATACAAAACATGAGTTTCACTAGATCCTGACTGCATTCGAGATAGAAAATAAGCTAAAAAAATTGTAAAAAAAAATTAAATTTTTTTTTTCATTGGGGCGGCCGCCCCCGCTGGGCCCTTCGTGGGTCCGCCCCTGATTTCGATGTTCTTATGGGGGAGAATACAAATCAATCTTGATCTTCCAAAATAACCAAACGGGTCCCACTCAAAATTTATGCCAAAGTTGGCCATTGTATTCATTTTTTCCAACATATATTTAATGCATCCTCAATCTCAGCGGGAATGTACAGGTTGAATGAATCAATTAAACTTTATCGTCCAAACCAACACTAATCTCGAACCTCATCAAATCACTTCATAAATTTTCTACCTCAGTGATTTTTTACGAGGTAAACATAGAAGGTAAAATTCAACTCACATCCCCAACTTTTCAAAAAATGTAGTGTCCATATTTTTGACCTTTCATTTGTTGCACTCTTATCCTACAACCCCTTAAGCCAGTGACGGATCCAGAAATTCAAGTAAGCGCGGACGAATTGAGGTGAGCATGGATGGCTGTCGAGCAACCGCCTAATATAAGAAAAAAATTTCGACGAAGCAAGCACGGGCGGTAGCAGGGGTTCGTCGAGTACTGACTCCGTCCCCGATGTCAACATTGTAGCACCCATGTCTGTTATAGAAAATATATACTCTAACAATAAATGGTCACGTGATATCATAATTGCATCGAAGTTACGGAATAGATTTCCATGAACGATAAGGAATTTTATTCTATCTAAATTTTTGAATCAAAGTTAAAGTCAATGTTTAAAATTTTATGTAATAAAGGAAATCTTTTTGAATAATTTTACCCTTTTAGTATGAGATCTCATAAGTTCGTCATTTATTGGCTAGAAAAACATTTTCCATTAACTTAGGACATGAGTGCTACAATTTTAAAAAGTTGAGACATGGTGCAATACATGGTAGATTGAATACATAAATATCACAATTCGAAAAGGTTGGGACACTCGAGAAATTTATCCAAAAAAGCTAACTTGATCGTCTAGTTATTTGCCAACTAAATCGTTATTTCAATTTTAATTTATGTTTAATAACCAATTTAAAATAAAATATAGCAATGAATGTTAACCACACATCTGCCCTCGTCCCTCGAGAAGAACGGAAAATTGAGAGCCAATAGAGAGTTTTCCTCTGTCTCTATTTTTATTTACTTTTTTCTCTTATTTTATTGGGATAATTACACCAATAGTCACTGAACTATACTGAAAGTTTCCACCAAGTCACTGAACTTTAAAAACATTAATTACCCCAATAGTCACTGAACTTTACTGAAAGTTTCCACCAAGTCACTGAACTTTAAAAACTACGTGGTTAGTCACTGAACTTTCGAAACTGCAACCCCATCCATCACTGAACTTTAAAAATCACCCAATTAGTCACTGAACTTTGCAAAAGGTTTCTACGGAATCACTGAACTTTACAAAAAGTTTCCCAAATGATCACTGATTTAGTGACCATCTAGGAAACTTTTTACAAAGTTCAGTGTCCGTCTGAAAAACTTTTTGCAAAGTTCAGTGATGAATAGGGTGATTTTTAAAGTTCAGTGATGGATGATGTTGCAGTTTCGAAAGTTCAGTGACTAATCATGTAGTTTTTAAAGTTTAGTGATCTGGTGGAAACTTTCGATAAAGTTCAGTAACTATTTGGGTAATTAACCCTATTTTATTCAATCTGAAGTCTCTGGATTGTGCAAAGCAGACATAATTACAATAAATTTGGCCCAATTTTCTTGACCTCTTGGCAGTGAGGCTTGAGCAAAAACCCTTAAAGAAACAAACTCATTACTCATTTCATTAAATCTAACTCAATTTTGAAATTAGCATTGACATTACAAATATCATTAACATTAAACAACCTTTATTACTAATATTAATTTCACATTCGATTTTTATACTTAATATGGAGAATATTTATCAGCGTTATCAGATCCTACGATCTGGATATAGTTTGATTTCATTAACAAATCAAATGCAGTAAACGAATATGGAGAAAGCACGATGTCGGTTTTCCCCTTGGCATCCTCCATTGAACTTCTAACCGGTATCACCTGCACAGTACCAAAAAGAGGGAACTTCAGGATTTATGGGGCTTGAGGGAAAAAAACCTACGAATTGCTTTTAAGGAAGAAAGAACATATTTCTGGATATTCACATGATGGAAAACTTATAAATGGTGATTTTCCACAAGTCTACGCGCTCTAAGCCAGGCTTTTTCGCTAGAGCAATACACAGATGTAACAAAGGGCAAAAGAAAAAGATGGGGAGACCCGGAAATGGACTGTTTAAGTGAATGTTTGGCAAAGCTTATAAGTGCTTTATAAGATGATTAAACTCTATTTTTATCAACACGTTCTATAGTCTATACTCTATTGGACCTAAAGAGTAATCTAATAAAAGCTTTGCCAAACACACTGGGATACCTTTATGATGAATTAATTGTATATATGATATACCTTCTTGGGTGCTTGGAAAGAATTCTCATCCATCAGATTACTAGATGTTAATTCAGTCTTTGTCAATCCAAGGGATGGAACCGAGTTCAGCTCCACTCCATCAATAAATATTTTGAGAGTCACGTTGTTGCTTCCGAAATTCACAACCTGGGGAACACATATTTTGAGTTTATAAAGAGAAACATTTAAGAATCAAGCACGGACTGGTGTAAGATTACAATGGTAGAAGCAGTTCTAATATCCCTGACCGTGAAATGAAGTTCAGTAATGGGGAAGAGGACAGAAACATGCCACCAAAAGACTCTACCTTCAGTGTTTCAGCAATATCGTATTGTTGCATGTAGCTAAGGTCCAAATTATGGACAAAAAAAAAACCTTAATCTAATGCAAAACCAAAATACACGGATGACTCTTCTGACAAAATAAAAATATGTAATTGTCTCCAAGTCCAGTAGAAGCAAACCCTACGGACTCCATATTCACGGTTTAGGTTGCTCCCATTTCGTTCGCTGCTACCAAGGGAATCGCTTTTGCTTAATTTTATGTTAGATATACTAATACCCACCGCATCCATCTGGAAATCTTGGATAAAGGTGAAAAATGGGGTTGCTCCCTCGGCAAAACTTGGATAAAGTTGAGCCAAAAGTTCTCACCAACATAGCAATGAAACATTTGGATTTTTAATAATTTTATTTTCATGTGAGAACTTCTAATTGGAAAGTACACAAACCTTTATTCTAAGGTATTTCTTGCTATCCTCTGAATTTTTCCAAACGATAGCAGAAGCAATTAGTGAACTTGAAGAGTTAGCTTGAAGAGTAGAACTGAGAAGAGTTGCACCGTTAGACTCCCTGAAAAAATGCTGCATCCAATAGCTAGGAGTTCCATACATCTGTGCTGAGTCGAAGACAATTGCATCTGGGCTCCACCTGAATCCAACAAAATTTTCTCTTAGAAATTCATAAAAAAAAGCAGTTGGAAATGAGAAAAGATGGTATTGAGAAAGAGGAAATTAAACATACGTTCTATCATTGGTATTAACGAATAAAGGTGCGTAACTTGCCATATCAACAGCATCACTGCATCAAAGGAGCAAACATAAATCTTCGTCAGCATTAAAATATCATAGCAGAAGCAAAAAATATCCCATGTGTAAACTGAGCAGGTAACCTAAGCATATACACAACCAATATCACAGATAAATAAACAAGGAAACATTTATTGTAAATTTTGATGCGTGAAAGATTCTTGAAATTTGATACGATACCAGTTCTTTTCAAGCCCAATAACAAATCCAGCTTCAGCAAGAGCCGCTAAAAGACTACCATTGCTAGCATCATTTCCAGTCACAGCATATTCACTGACAAAAGCCTATACACCAAATTACATCATCCAAAGTATCAACCTGTACATAACTAATTTATTATCAAAGTGAACCACTACAAACCTTTGGACCATTGCGCGAGACTTGGTCAAATTTTCGTGCCGAGGAAAACATATTATTTGCACCGGTATAAATCTAACAAGGAAACCAAGCATGAGCGAGTAGTTTCCATGTTGTCAAATAATGAAATTTATTGTAAATGTATGAAAGACTAATGAAGTTCTTACATGATAATCATACATATCAGCGGGGTGATCCAATGGTTTAGAAGAACCATCGCAGTTTGAGATTATTTTGATGTCTGGATATGCATTTCTTATAGCATTGTAGAACTTGAGGTAGTTCCCTGAATAATAAGAAAATTGAAAATATATGACAAAATAATTTGAGTTTTGCTAGTTAAAGATGGTTGAACTAGATGATGCCAATGTGCGGAGTAAACTTAATCAACCAATTGTCTAAGAATCTTAAGTTAGATCATATTGGTTAAAAAAAATCATCAGTTGAAGGCAAACAAAAGATCTATTCTTGAGTGAACATGTGATTTGTGTTTCAGCATGTGAAAAAAAATTTATATATCAAGCTCAGAAACCTTTAGCATTATTCCTCATCAGGATTCTTTATCTGTGGTTGAGAAAGGAATTAACCTCTTTACGTGAAATATAACATCAAGAATGTTTTGTTTTATATTACATGCTAGTTAATTTTGACCATTATAGGCTTGAAAAGAAAAGGAAAAAGAAATGATTAGGAATGCAAAGCATAGCTTACCAATATAATTTTTCTTCCCGCAATCCTCATTCCCAACTGCAACATATTTCAAATCAAAAGGTTCCGGGTGTCCCATTGAAGCTCGAAGAGAACCCCATTTTGATTGAGGCTCGCCTCTAGCAAACTCAATACCATCTAGAATTTCCTGCAGTTAATTTTCAAGAAGTGAAATACATTACAACATAAGACTATTTTATATGATACTGCTCCCTGTGGGGCAGTTCAAAGCTACAAATCAGGTGTGAAGTTTTAAGAATTAGATGGTCATGAATATCTGAATTGAACCCGAGAGACGTACTTGTACAAAAGGTAAGACGCTGGAAGTGTCAACTTGATCGTTGTGACTGACCCCTGAGAATTATTGGACATGAAGAAAACAGAATAAGAGAAAAAGGAAAGAAACTCAACAATCCAGCTTGAGCATGTTTAGCTAACCTTAAGAAAAAAGTAACGTTACATTTAGTCTCCAAACACGTTAGGATAACTTACTACTTTTCTAATTTTTAGATGAAAAATGCACTTTTGTTTTAAGAAACTCACAACTTACTATCAAAATAAGCAACTTGCTTATTTTCAACTTTGACCAATAAAACACTTAATTATTTCTAAACTTACTTATATTTAACTTTTTAACCTTAGCTAAGCATGCTTTATTTATCAGCATAACATATATAGTCTAAAGAGTACCGTTGTTGAAAACCCATACTGGTGCTGCACCCAAGTCCTCAGCAAGCTGCAGAAAAGGAGAAATTGGAAGAGTGAAAATAATGAAGAAGATGATAAAAAAAAATAAAAATAGATCCAACATAATTTTACCTGGAGAAACTCAAAATGGCCAAGACCATCATCAGTCCAGTAATGCCAAACATCACCAAAATGCCCAGGCCTCTCTTCCCACGGTCCAACAGTTGCTTTCCAGCGAAACGCATTTCTTAACCATTCACCTTCGACAAAACAACCACCTACAACATGGATAGCAAGAAAGTGATACCGCAGAAAACAACTATAAAGTACAAGGCCGTAACGAACATGAGGTACATAGATATGAAGAATCCCAAAGAAAGCTATAACTATTATCTCGTAAAAAGAATAACAAAACAAAATTGAAAGAAGAAATTTGGAAAAGAGATGAAAATATTAGGACTACCTGGAAATCTGATAAATCCTGGTCTCAAATCTTGCATCATTTCAAAAAGGTCATTGCGAAAACCGTGTCCCTGAGCCAAGGGATAGTAATAAGGAGCTTATATTATATATGAGATATCAATCTCATGGTGTCATAGACAGTACAGTGAATATCGACAACTGCTCAATCTTTATATTTTGAGATTTTCTTTTTATTATTTGGTAGAGTAACAGGGAACTTGGTCGAATCTAATATATATTCTCATTCAATTGTCTTTGGGAGCATCAAGGTAGTTGCACCCTATTATTCAGGAAGCTAGAGAGCAATCCTAAAGTTCTTCCCACTCTCTTAAGTGATTAAAAGTTATCCTCTGAGTAAACTCACCTTGTATGTATCTGTAGGCATCAATGATACTTGATCAAACCAAATAACACCTTTCCTGGTCGTGGTGAGCTGAAGTCTTGATTTTGCATCAGTTCCTTGTGCATGCAACAAAACCTCCATCTTCGTCCAGTTCGAAACATTAGAATCTCTGCAATAGCATTAACTCTTAAACATTCAAGAAGTAACCTAGGTCAAAAAACATTTAGTGCATGTTTAATACGCAGTATTTGTTACTAATAGTCTAATAGACAACATTTTTTTCTTTTTTATTAATATTCTGTACTACTGTCTATTATGCGTTAGCAAACACGCTACCAAGGGACTGTAATGAATCACCAATACTGACTTAAAGTTAGCAGAAGCCAATGTCTGCAATCCATTTGAACCCGTCAAGGACACAGATAAATCAATTGATCCTTCTGAACGAACATAGAACACCAATTTATAGGTTTTCCCCTGTTCAATATTCTGCAAGTGAAAAACAGATTCAGGTTCCAGTTGGCAGATTAACAAGAAGTTAGCATTATAAAGATCCACAGAAGTCTGGACAAATTAATGGAATGATATTCAATGGCGTGTTTAATCAGAAAAAGACTTATCAAACTAACTTCATCATTACTTAGAAAAACTAAGCGTCTGACTGAAGATATGGACAGGGCTAACAATATAAGACAGATTACCAAATGGAGATCCCCTGGATATGATCAGATGATTGCATACATATCAAAGGACATGCAAGTAATGGATTGAAATTTCTCACTTCTTCAAGGAATTTCGATTGTGAGTTAAGCGAATCGGCAATTTGGGGCCAATGTAGGCCAAGAGTATATTGGCTTGTTCAGCAAGGTAGATTGGAAGCAATGGATAGTTTTGAAGAAGAAAATAAGTTAAAAATTGATTCAAAGTTTGTCTTGTGCACCAATTATATCCTATATGATTAGGAAAGTAAAACTTTTATTTCTTTAATCCTTTTAAAAGTGGTAAATTACCAAATTTATGGGTTCACCAAAATGAATGTGACCTACGAAAAAATTGGAGACCACCAAGTTCTGCTTTAAAACATCATCCAAGAAGCCATAAATTTGAAACTTCAAGTATTTGTTGTTTTTAATATAATAATTTTCTGAAGTAAAAAAGAAAAGATGATTTTACAAATAGGAAACAAAAGAAAAAACAAGGCTGCGTAAGATTCAGTTATACATAAAAAGTTCAAGGTCCTACTTGAAAGCATAGTTTTTCGTATTTTAGAATTTATTTCGAATGTAAAATATTGAGAAAAAAAAGAATATTTTGACTTTTACTTGCTAAAGTAGGTAAGATGAATAACATTAAGCTTTTTAAGCTACAGAAGACTCAAAAAAACAGATGTTACTAGAATCATTGGTCAAAAAACAGAATTATGCATATAACTGATCCATCTGGCTCTTGGGGGAAGTAGAAAGTATAATTTAACTATATTGCATTTTGATCATTCACAGAAGACACCTTCCTTTCCCTTTGAAATTTGAAAAGGTGTTGACTCTTACCATGCCCCAGAAACCAGGGTTATATATACCAACTCCTCCAGCTGGACAAATAATTGTGCCTTCATTATCACAGAGCACCTCCATTCGCAAAGCAATTTTATTTCGAGGAAAGTACGATGTACGTTCTGTTGATACAATTAAAGACGATTCATCCCCGATAATAGACCAGGGATCGATGTTTGAAGGTGTATTGGGACCCCCAGCTTCAAAACCTGAAATTAAAATTGCACGAGACTACTAATCATCGGCATTCACAAAAGCAAATGACATAATCTATTTCAAATATATAATGCACAGTTTTTTCGTCTCAAACAATCATGAATTTCAAAAAATGCCACTGATATTTAACTGATCATGTCCCAACCAGCAAAATGTTGAATGAGAGGAAACAAAGCAAAAGAAACATTATCTGTTTTTTATCCATAATTAACACAAGAAGGTTAGTAAGTATTGTACAGTGGCATTTTGAAAATACAATACAATGGATCATTTGCATGTAAGATGAAGAGGAATACGTCCAAGAAGGCCTATTGACCACTTCAAGCTTTGAAGCAATTGCACATACCAAAGTTCAAATTTACAGATAAGATTCTTGCAAAATATGGGTACTTCTACATTGAAATAGGGGAAAAGGAAAAAGAAACACGAGGGAGCTGCTTGAAAATGACACAGAAGACAAAAAGGAAGAACCAAACTAAAAATTACTCTAAAAGATGGGGAAACTACATAATTCCTCTGGTTTTGTCAACGATCTAAGGGGGCAGAGGAATCTGTTTGCTGCTTGAACATAGGATGCTAAGTAATCAATTACCGTAAAACACACAGGAAGACTGTACAAATTATCAAAATAGTACCAGGGAATATTAAACACAAGCACGAGTTCCCGAACTCCATATTGCTACAAGGATCTCTGAATCATTTATGAATCAAGATAGATAGGAAGGAAAAGATGACAGCAAAACATTTATTTATTCCTATTCAAATAAACTAAAGAAGATGTAAATGCTACACTTCAAATGTTAATAACAAAAACCATGTAAGAAATTATGATGAATATTTAGTTTCATTACTATTTTCCTTCTATAAGAACAGCTCAAGGAAATTCTAGCTGACCTCGGTTACTGACAAGCTCAGCCCACAATCCTCCAGCTCCAGCATGGTTAATCTCCTGCAGATATTTCACAGAATATTAACCTCCATGCTCATTATTCAACAGCTAACATAGGTGCTGTGAACATTAACACATGTTCAACGTCTAAGGACAGATTTCATTCTGCAATTCAATTACCATAAACCCAGATAACCTAACCCCGTCTATCTCCAAACCCTCGTGTAATAAATTTTTGAGTGTTTTTCATACATAAAAAAGGTAAAAATTAAGAACACGTTTACGTATAATAATAAAACTGAAACACTACAAAATTCAACAATGCACGTGAACAATATCTATGGAACCAATTAACAGATAATATATCAAGTGATGGATCACGCAAAATGTAATTTGCATTAGAAAACACCAGTGCGTTCTTTCATGCTAAATTTTAAATAAAAAAAAATGTGTAAATTTGAACGAACAGATGAGAACATCAATGATGAAGTTGATGTAGAATTTCGTCATAAATTACTTATCTCACCTCGAAAAATATGCCAAACAAGGTCTCGGGTATTTTCTTCGCTGATGTTTCAGAGGCATTAATAAAAAGTGATGCTGTCTGGCTTGCTTCAATTTCAATTGCAGAAGATTGATAAACAGCATTCAACGTGATGAAGAAGGAAAAAAGGATGCTGTATATGGCACTGTTGGAACCCATTTCTTCCTATATGCATCCAAAGCTTTTGCAGCCTATTTAAGCACTGCTAAATCTACTAATCCAGCTATCTTATTATATATACAGGAAAGAAAAAAGTTAATCAGTTAACAGAAGAAAAGTACTAAAGCGTGAACAGAAAAACTTCCTGTTACAACAACCTCGTCTTACTGAAAGATAGAAAACCAAATTATGAGTTCAAGAACTATATCAACAGAACCGAACTGGCCAACTGTTATCAGACAGTTTTGCTTCAAAAACAAACTACAGAAGTTGGGGAAAAGAATAACATCCAAACAAGAACAATAATTTATACTTCATTCACATTTCAATTCTTCTTTTTCTGTTCTTTCTTCATGGGAACCCATGCCGTGAAATAACTTTTAGTCAAATGGTTCTTCAATGGTGAGTTTCATTAAGAGATAGAACATTAAGATACGCGTACAGAACCTCAAATAGAGTGAGAGTTAAAGTTACCAGGTCCAACATCTACGGTAGTATCAACATTAATGAAGCAAAGATGATTTACTGGAGCGTTTTAATAAATTCACTTTACTTGTTCTATGATAAGATTTTCAAAAGCTAAAAATGAATTACCTACTATTGCACTCAGATTACAGCATCACTCAAAAAAAAAAAAAAAAAAAAAAAAAAAAAATTTGTGAAGTCAAATTCCATAAAGGCATGGCGCACGCATAAGATTTTGAATTGTATATATTCACCCCAATTTCACGTGAAGCTGTAAATTCAATCATTAAAATTACTTTTATGATCCACTTATAGCGATTATTGATCAGATGGCTAAAGATTAATGAAAATGAGAAATGAGAAAAACTAAAAGCAGAATATACATTTTACAATTGTTCACAGAGATTCTGCTACTAAAATTTGAAGTTAATCACAGGAATGAGACTTAGATATACACAAACAATACAAATATGCAATCATTTTTATATATGTTAAAAATTGGGTTTCAACCCAATTCTTAAGGTGGTATCAGAGCCGTTAGGCTTCACAACAATTCGATTACTCAAGAAAATTGAGCACACAAATTTCAAGATTCGTCTGCTCAAACGAGCCAAAGGGCATGTTAAGGAATATAATCCTAAAGATGAAAACATAGACCAACTTTACTGGATTACTCCTCTTATATTAATTGACAAATGGACCCCAAATCTTAACAATATAAAGATGAAAACTTTATCCAGTATAATATAATTTCCAGTGTGTGGTAAGAGAGGAGAGGGGTGTGCAAGAATTACAGGAGACCCAGAAAGGAGTATGATAATTCTTCACGAAGCAACTTTTGATCGTCATAATTTATAATACATATAGAACAGAGATATGATGATACAAGAATAGACGAAATCAATATTTTACCCGCAAATGATGACCCAATAGTTTTCACTGTGAGAGAGAATTTACAGAGAGAAGATGATGATGATGAAGAGATGAGGCAGTGACAGTTATATAGTGAGCTCACAAACCGTTACGTTTAAAATTTGTACACACAGAAACAGTGATTGCGTGTTTATTGCTTGAAGCTTGAATCTTGATTTTTATCTTTATCTTAGCCTTGGCTTCACGCAAGCAAGCAAGCTTTTTGGGTTTCTGCAAATTGTGCCTTTGAAGCAGGCTGGTTTTGAAATTCTTGAAAGTCTTCTTTATTGACCCCATTGGACGACGCTGATTTTGGATTATCTCTTACTTCTTTTTCTTTCTATTTGATTATTTCTTACGTTGTTTGTAGATAATATTTTAATTCTTGTTGCAATTTTTGGTCCAACTGGATTAGATTATTACAAAAGATCACACTTTTCTTTGCCTTCGTTTATTTTATGTTCTATCCATCTACACAAAGGCAGGGCAGTATTTTATTTTTTATTTTTCAAGAAAATGGATATTAAGTTCAAATATTATGATATATTAAGTAAACTTTTTACCTCTCTTTTTTTTTCCCCTATTATGTTATACATGCTATTAAAGTCTGTAAAAAAAATAAAAAATTAGAGGATATTAAATCAAGACGGTATGTCTATCTCTAATCTCTAGAATGACGAGGTATCTTATAATTAACGAGAGTTTTGATACGTGTACATTGAGATTGACAGGTTCCCTCATAATAGAAGGCTGGCGATTTTTTTATTGGATACGGACCCTCTATTGTTAGGATGCTATACATCGGAGTGTCAATTTCGATGTACAAATAGCAAAACATAATGGATAATATTTATTAGATAATATTTATTAACTATAAAAAGATTTAATTAAAAAGAGTTTTGCTACGCATGCACCGGGATTGACATGCCCCAAGGATTTTTTATTGGACGCGGGCCCCTCTATTGTGAGGGTGTTGCTATACATCGGAATGTCAACTCCGGTGTACAAATAACGAAACCCAATTAATAATATTTACCAGACAATTTTTTAACGATAAAAGGATTTAATATATCATTTTAATATTGATTTGCGTAGTTGATCTTTAAGGCTTCAACCCGTCTTGAGATTGTTATGTATCTTGTGTTGAACCATAATAGATTTCAATTTTCAATTTTAAGTTCGTATTATTCCTAAATCATCTCAAACGGGTATTGTTTCCTCTTGGATGGCTCCCTCATTTCTTTGTTTTTAATAAAAATCTTACTCATATGCATAGTCGTTTAATAAAATTCTTACCCTATGTATAGTTATTTAAACCGGATCGAATTGGCTTAAGAATAAGCGATAAAGAACCGCTCAGATTGATCAATTTGGACAAGTTCAGAGAAAATAGGAGCTAGCTCATATTATTTCTGAACAAAAATTTATATTATATTTGCATTGGGAGAGATATGTACCCGCGCTTTTTGTATCAAACGTTGAAACCTAACGACTATGTCACCACTAGAAGGTTTGCATTGAATGTGAGCGAAATATGTATTCAGATATAACAAAACGACATGAAATAAAATATGTATTGCCCTCTTGTTTTAAATATATATTTTTATTATTATTAAAATTACAATCTTGCAGTGATCACCAATTGAACCAATGACTCGTCGAATGAATCACTGACTCGATGATTTGTCTACATCGTCGGTCGAATCAAATTTAATAACTATGTCTGTATGGCAACATTTATAAAAAGAATAAAAAATTTAACCCATCCATCTCGCTTATATTCACAAGATGACAAAACATGGCATAAGTTATATGCAACATGTTTTTTTCATATAAATGTTATCAAAGAAATAATCTAAAAAAGTATAAATCATTCTGAAAATATTTATTAATTAAAGACATTATCTAAATATCAACTTTAGTAAATCTTAATTGTCTCTATTTTGAGTATTTTCCATCGCATCTTCCTTAAAGTCACGTGAAAATTTGCATTTATATAATCTTCAACTAAATCAATTTAAGGTTAAGTATTAAGAGATTCGTTTCCAAAAAAGGAAGAGTACTACAAGCATGTTTGTTAAAATTTCCAAGTCAAATTAAGGACACATTTGGACCTACACAAATCATATCAAATTGTATCAATCCACATTGCTTCGGGCTATTATGTTTGAATAATGTTATCTAACATCAGTGGTGCTAAAACATTAGTTTAGGTGGTTACACTTGATAAATTCAATTAAGGATCTGTTTGGTACACATTATTTTTTCCATTCTCATTCTTCTACTCGTTTTCAACCACACATTCTTCAATAAAATAATATTTTCCATTACATCAATAACTTTTCCTTCTTTTTCAATCATATATTCCCCATCATATCAACAGTAAAAATGCATTCTTACCTTCAAAATGTGCACCGAACGGAGGCTGAATGAATGTTTTGACTTTATATTTAAACGAACAAATCATGTAATGACATTTAATTGCCACCTAAAATAGTGCTAAGTATCAGTGGAGGTAAATGGCATTACCCTTTCCGTTTTCTTGTTTGGGACTATTGATGGTAAGATTCCATTTCTACGATATTTGGGAATTCTTACGTTTCCAATACATTGGGACACCACTCTTTTCCAATTACTAAATTACTATTTTCATTAGAATATAATACTGTTTTCTTTTTGGGACGTCTTGAATTATTTCGTGCACAATAGAAGTAATAGTTATTAATTTTGTAATGTGATGTATAAACTATAAATGGACCAACAAATAATTGCATAAATTAACTGACATGAATTAACGAAATTTTTTATTTATGAGACATTAGTAGAAAAATAAAATTGAACTTTCTCGTTCACAATCGAACTAATCATTCCTACAAGTTTGTATCGTGGTGTATAAATCTATAAATGAATTAACAAATAATTGCATGGATTGATGTGATGTGATATGACGAAAATATTTATCTATAAATTAAAAAAGTAAATAGATAATTTAGTTATTAACAGACATTAGTAGTAATTGAAGTTAATCGTTTTTATACAATCGGGTTTATCATTATTACAAGTTTGCAACTTGATGTATAATCTAAAAATAGATTAACAAAGCCCCCATGGCACATCTCCAAGTGGTAAAAGGGGAAGGTGGAAAAACTCCAACTTTGCTTGAGCTGCTGCGTCAAGGGTTCGAATCCTAAAATATAGATTTGGCCATTGAGTAAGTGCAAGTGTACAAATAGCCTTCCACACTATACCCTTTGAGGCATAACATGCGATTTACCTCCTTCACTAATGTCCAGAATATGACAGGTGGGGGTCGTCAAGGATGCGGTTCATCCTTTTTTTAAAAATAAATTAACAAATAATTGCATGAATTGACATGACCTGAGTTGGCGAAATTCTTTATTTATAATTGAAATAATATATATAATTTAGTGAATTGACTTGATGCGACGAAAATCTTTATCAACATACATTAGTAGAAATTGAAGTTAAACAATCTCCTACACAATCTAGCGAATCGTCTACAAAAGGAAGAACTGAGGAGAAAATTTTGAATATCAATTTTACCTTTATATATTTAGTTATATACGCAATATACCCTCACTCGATATCCGTTTAATATTATA